TATCCAATATTGCTTAGGGCATTAAATTTCTCTCTCTCCTCTCATCATCTCCTCTCCTCCCCTGCTCTCTTCCTCTTCTCCCCACTCACCTTCCCTCTCTCCTTATCTCCTGGAATATAACAAGAATTCAATGAAAATAACTTTTTTTCACATTACAATTAAATGACACTGCATGGCCCAGTGGAAGACAAGTATACTTGTTTTCAAAAGGCTTTAATTTGGCATAAATACTCTGGTGATATGTAAGGATAAAGACTAATATCTACCTCTAGGTAATAGCTACTAACTATCATGGTTTTAGTAGAACAATTGTTTGTAATTTTATCCACGAAGATATTTATTAGAGTGAGCTCTTGTCCTTTCCATTTTGAAAAATATTGATGTAGAGCGACCTTCTACTAAGAAAAACTGGTTATAATTCCCAAATCCAATCATGCACCACATAACGATTATTCAGTCAAAGACGGACCACATAAACGATGGGGAACCTGTAAGATTAGTACCATATAGCCTAGGTGTGTAGTAGGATACATCATCTAGGTTTGTGTAAGTACAATAAGGGAGGAAGAAATTTTCTTCTACTCTTCTAGGTTTTTCTCGCTGGTCTAAGAATTAAATTGACCTGAGACAGATTAACAGGAGAAAAACAAACAAAAGTTTAATAACATGTATACACGGGAGAAACCCAGGAAAACCGAGTAACTTGCCAGAATGGCTGAAGCCCTCACCTTAACTACCATCCTCAGCAAAAGACAAAAGAAGATGTTGGGGGTAGAGACAGTCAGGGACTTCAAAGGGAAGGAACGCAATTCACAGGTAGATGACAATGAGTAAACGTTTGGAAAACAAACAAAAACGTTTGTTTGGCCATACAGAAACAGAAGAACACAGAAGGAACCCAACAAAGAGGGTTTTCTAGGTTCCTCCCTGTCTACCATCTAGTTCATGTTATGCTAAGGTGAGAGCTTGCTTCCTGAGACAGATGTTTTTATCTGAATTCTCTTAGGCAGTTAAGGAGGAGGTAACAAGAAAAACTTTCAGATTCTTTTGTTTCTTAAAAATAATCAGCCTAAAATAATCTTCATGTTAAAGAGACACATTTTGAGGCTGCAAATTGTGCTGCGCTTCAGCATACTTCTATGATGTTCACACAACGATGAAATCACCTAATGACACATTTCTCAGAACACCATTGTAAAGCAATGAAGCAAAGTTTTGAAATTTAAGTACATTTCCTCTTGTGGCTGGTACCATTCATCATATTGAAGGACAGAGATTCTTAATTCAAATAGACAAATAGTCTTAGTTTAATCATAGATGAGATAAAACGATCTTTAAATAGTTAATTTGCTAAAAATTGGTCCTTGTTTCCAAGTTCATATTCAGTTTTATAACTTGTAAATAATGTATCTCAAGTAATATTTTCCCAGGTCAAGAACTACTGTATCCATTCTAGAAAAATAAGCCCCTTTAGAAATGTAATTACTGTTCAGATTATTGATCCTATCCTGCTGTCAGGGCCAAAGTGTTTAGCAAGATCATTTCAGGGACCTGGACAGTACATTTTTATTGGCAATGAGCTAGCAGATTACCCAGAGCTCCAATGAGAAGACCCAGTGGCCAGGTCTATATCACTCTAACATTCTACTGATGTGCAGCACAGATGGTGAGACATGTTGACGGATGAGGTTGTCTCAGCAGCAGAGTTATCTTAGTCCTGCCAAATATTTTAGTTGAATGACCTATTAAACATGGTTGTCCCAAGGCAAGTGGAGAGATTTATAAGTAACTAGAGCTGTTAAATGTGGGACCCTCTAGGAAGTTCTGAATATAGATTCTTTTCTCATAACTTTGACTGCTAGTTTCTAAGAATCATCCATCCAAGTCTGAGTTGGGGGTGGAGGGAAGGAAGGAGCATAAAGAGAGATTGGGAGAATATATGCAAACAAAATAATCTTAAAATACTAAGAGGAGTTATAGGGTGAATTGAATAGGAGTTTTTAGGAGGGAACATTAATATAAAAATGCTAACTTAAGTTCGTATTATCTAGGATAGTTTCTTTATACACCCAAGATCTATGAAGAACCAGGGTTTGCTATCAGATTATAACTTCTCTCCTGTTTCTATTCTCAGGAGACAGGCTAGTACAGAAAAGCACTGGATTATAAGTCACGGTAATTGCGCTCTTGTGTCACCTTGACCATGTCCTCCAGAGTTTTGGGGTCTCAGATTCCTCACTTGTAAATTTAGAGTGAGTAGATGGTCTAAATTCTCTCTCACAACTATTAAATTTTGCTTTTCTGCTTACGTCCCTAGACCTCCACTTCTATGGACAGGAATACTTTAAACTTACTGAGAAGCAGTAGAACACAGCACTAAATGCTCAGTCTCTGGAGTTACACAGACTTATCCTTAACTTTGCCCTCATCACATACACCTATATAACCTTCTCCATATCACTATTATTCAATATTTACTGAGTCTTAGAGTCCTTGTTAATAAAATGGAGACGATCGTAGTACTCAACACATGCAAGTTGTTCTTAGATGTATTTATTTTTTTATAGCACTTATTACTAACTTCTATCTAACTTATCATCTGTAAGGTCCATAGGGTCCATAAGGGTAGTGATTATTGTCTGTTTTATTCACTGATGTATCTCAAGCATCTTAACTTATGGTAGCCACTCAATATTTGTCAAATGAATAATTAAATGAAACAATGCACGTAAAGTGCTTAGTGTGGTAATTGGCGTACAGCATTTGATAAATGATCCTATAAACTGTCTTGATAAATGGTTTTATCACAGTGCCATTTCACTGTGAAGAAGTAGGAATGGAAAAAGCAGGGATGTTTCAAAGAGAAGATGAAGGGGATTGAGGACCATTGTCATTTTCAACTATTTGTTACTTTCAAAGGAAAGAATATGATCCAAGAGGTGGAAACTACACGGAGACATTTTTAATACCCAGAGTAAGGAAGACTTTTCTGACAAAATAGCTCAAAGATGAAACGAACCGGTGCTTAAGTGAATGTTGAATTATTATCAACCAATAAATGAAGGGATTAAGAAATCTAATCAAAGGTTATGAATCTATTATTCCATGAATTAAATTATTTGAAGAGAACTTATAAATAGCATATACAGAATAAATTTAAAAATATACAAAATATTGAATTTTGGCTTTGTGGCGCTGCTGGCAATAAAAATACAGACAGAAAATGGCAAATATAGTAAATACAAATCTATTTTCCTTGTGTACATATGATCAAAAACCATTTACTTGTTGGCAAATGATATGGCTGAAAAACAAATGCTGATAATTTGTCTTACTAATGTTGGCAAAGCATCAGACAGGAACTACAGAATCCCTTATCCTCTATCAGAAAAACAGGACTATTTAAAGCCAGCTTCTTTCTTTCCTGTTCTTTTAACCCCAGTGGTGACACTGAACTTTGGAATTCAAGAATATTGGCAGTGGGAATGTTCCTGGGTTTTGTGAAACCAGCCGGTGCATCACTCTTGCCAACTAGGGATGATTTTAGACAAAATGTATGACATCGATGAAAAAGGAATCTCACTCAATATCATTTTTATGAAGGATAGTGGACCTGATACTAAAATAGTCCCATCAATCTACTGCCATCAGATCAGACAGCAAAGAATTAGGGACATAAAGTGGCTGTCATAAAATGTAGCCAAGCAGGAGCTAAGTCTGATCAGAGAAGGTCAGTTAAGCATTTGGAAAATAAAGGAAGCATGTTTTCTTTAACGAGCCATCAAAAGTTAATAACAAGTGAGTTGGCTTTCTATTTTTTCTATTTTGGAGAGTAATAGTGAGAAAGACGCAGTGGTTATGAAGGTTTTCTCTATTCTTTAAATTGGCTGCCTATTGAGAAAAGATATGTGATACATGACAGTTTTGAGAGGTATGGAATGGTGAACTGCATTCACACATGGTCTCATCTTACTGATTGTGATGGTTAATTTTATGTGACAACTTGATTGGGTCATGGGGTGCCCAGAAGTGTCTATGAGGGTGTTTCAGGATGACATTAACATTTTTATCTGTAGACTGAGTAATGCAGATTGTTCTCCCTAATGTGAGTGGGCCTCATCCAATCAATTGAAGACCCGAATAGAACAAAAAGTCTGAATAAGAGGGACATCTTCCTACATGACTGCTTGAATTGGGACATTCATCTTTTCTGACCTTCAGACTTGAACTGAAACATTGGCTCTTCTTGGGTCTCAAGCCTGCCAGCTTTCAGACCAGAACTATACCATTGGCTCTCCTGGGTCTCTCTCCATATATATATATATATACATACACACATTCTTGCTTCTGTTTCTCTGGAGAACTTTAACTAATATACTGATTCAACAGCATCAGCAGGGAATGAGCTGAGTTGTGCCAATCAAGTGGATTATCCAGATAATTAAAGTCAACCCCCTGTAAAAGTCAATCTTTTAGAAACTTGTCAGGTAACAATGTGGGTGATCAGGCAATGTAATAACACTTTTGTATTATAAAATAATAAGGCAATTTTCCAATGCTTTTAAAAATTAGTTCTAAAAGCAATTCCTCACTTTCAAACTCCAAATTCTATGATTCTATATTATAAAAAAACTCATGTAGCCTTTCTCAAAATCAATTTCAAAAGCAACAGCAAAAAGTTTAAAATGTGTTTACTTCCCAAGTGAATTAAGAAAGTATTTAAGAATCCATCTCATTTCCTTACAGTCATTTTTTTTTTGAGGACTTAACAACTCATCATTTTCATGTGTTGATTCCTGTTATCATCATTAATCAGCACGTGGCATATCTACTTATTTTCCATGATTATCTTTAGGCTCTGCTGTTTTATGATATTTAAGCTCTACTTCCACTACACAGATTAAGCTTCAAAGCATCTGTCCTTATGCAGCACAAGATACCCTTGGATGCTGCCAAATTCCTGGCATTACCTCCGTGTGAATTTTCTCATTGTCACTCACCTGCCCAGAAGCAGAAATTCTCCTGCCAGACCCAGGCGCCTCATGGCCATCAGCAGACCTCTCACCGTCATGCCCTCACAGAAGCAGGCCACCACCCTGGCCTTGGGCAAGTGACTCGTGAGCTTCTTCAGCAGCTTATCGAAGCTCTGCTCCCCCGCATTGCTGTAGATTTTATAAGAATGAGCGATGCAAATCCCTTCCTTGGCTGACATATCTTTGAAAGCTTCCATCCCACTTTCTCCATAGTTGCCTGTGTGAAAACATAGATAAGCAGAGGGGTAGTGAAATGAGAGTGTGGGATTCATTGGCTACAATTAGAATGCAGAAGTGCTGGGAGCGCGAAGGTCACTTGGTAGCGTTGCACTTGGAACCCAAAGACCTGAATGAGCTTTTGCTCTTTCACTGACTTGCTCAGTGAATTGCACTGATTTGGGGCAATTTACAATGGGAATACATTATACATATATGCACTGAACTTTTTAAAAATTTTCACTGAGAAGAGAGAATAATATAAAAAGTACAAGTAATTTAGCTCCCCCCTTGACTCAAAAAAGCTCATAATCTAGTGTAAGATGATGGAAGACATTTATCTGCTATTTTTTCATTCTATCTCACTTGCCTTTGCTTCTCATTATATGATCATCTCACTCCATTGATTCTGGATTTCTGTTTGAAGAGATAGTACATGTGTGTAACACATATATTTTATATAGTATAGATGTTGTCATATAAATATCTTATAGAGTATTATATTTTTATAGGATATTATGCATATTATAGTTCATTAATAATCATGAGAATTTATGGTTTTATCTCAACTGAAAAATCCAGATCCTTGACTGAGATTTTAGTCTTGTAACAAATAAATGTATAAACTTATGAAAAATATTTAAATTTCATTCTATACAACCATAGAGAAGTTAGTGATAGGGAGGAATAATTCCCAAGTCCTTTGCAAAATTTGGGGGCTAGGGACTGAAGCTGGTGTTTTTAAAATTAATGAGGATCAATGTTGACAACCAACCATATTCCAGGAAGTGTCCCAAGATCTTTATACATGATCTCATTTAACTCTCACAATAATATACTGAGGTATGCCTTATGACCTCCATTCTACAGGTGAGGTAGTTAGGTTTACAATTGCCCAGAGTTCCATACCCAGTAAGCGGAAGGCTGCACTCCATTCACTGATCTAAGAGTGCAGATTCTGCTCCCTCCACGTTTCTATAGATGACTTTTAGGAAACTCAGGAGCCAAATTATATCTGCATTTCTCTTTCCCATTTAAAAGTCATGATACTTCAATTTTAGATATTTTTGGAGACTTTTAAGGCTCTATAAATTATACCAGGCTCATTTTCTGAGTTTTCAAAAGATTAAGTGGGTGAGGGGTATTGATTTGAAGAATACAGGAGACTATTACAAGACAACCAAGCTGTGGGACATGTAAGGACGTAAGTGGTTTAACAGTCAACTAGACCTGGGAATTGGAATAGCATGAGGAGCAGCAGATCTTAAATGAATAAGGGTGTACAAGACATTCAGTTGCATACATTTCATTATATGACTATAATAGAGATAACACAAATAACTATGTCACATTTTGGTTTTTGGAAAGTTACCTCATATATATTAGCTCACTGCTCCTCACACCAATTCTGTGATAAAGGTAATATTACCTTCTCCTCACAGAAGTTCACCTTGAGCAAGGAGGTGGCAGAGTCTCGGTTTGAACATGTATCTGCTCACTCCTGGCCTGGCGTGTGCTCCACTATAGCACAGGGGCTTTGCTGTAAATGAGATCCCCAGACTTAGAGGGTGGATATTTGTGTTGTTTTCTCTCCATGAACAAACTGTAAAGGGCAGAGCAGAGCAGGCCAGCTTGAGACCCAGCCAACAACACTTGTGGGCCAGCTGCATCTTTCCTCCTTCTCCAGAATTAAAACAACAAGAAGCCTCTATGATGATGGCAGGTGGGCAATGTAGTTATTTTGCAATTAACAAAGTTTAAAGGGCTCTCTCTGAAAAATGTGCCAAGGGGCCTAAATTACTAGTTTTATACTAATCTGAGTAATCTGTTATTCTCTGATTTATTTTTAGCCGCCTCTATTTTTCAACCTACTCTCTTGTATTTAATGCTTTGATTAATGCTGAGATATTTGCATAAATAATTTGAAATTACGTACATAGTGTTTGTGACGGCAATAATGGAAATTCTCAATACATTCACAATTAAACAAACAAACCAGAAATCTGGCAAATTCATCATCTTTAGCACCTCTCCTAATACCTTTGTTTTAGTATTGTTTTTGTTTATACAGTAAATTATATAGAAGCAGCTTGTAATATGGAGAGAACTTTGTTATTAGAGATCTGAGTTCAAATTTAGTTTGGATAGTTTCTCTAAATCAGCTTAATCACTTGAGAATCAGAGGTAACACTATTGAATATATGGGTATTTTGTATATTATATTTAACATACGCAAAATATCTGATGGGTAGCCTGAACCCAATTAATTGCACCTATTGGGATTATAAAGAATATTCTAGGCATAGTTAAGCTGCTCTCTACTGGAGCATCTAAAACAAATAATGAAGCAAATGGCATTAATAATGAACATTAGACAAAAGAATAGGCTTAAACTAGCAGAGGGAAATACGATTTTCTCAGAGCAAAGCCCAAGCAATACTATTTAAAATTAAAATAGGAAACAGTTTTAATATATGTGTGACATAAAAATTCTGCAGAATAATAATTTTGATTTAATAAAAGAAACCCACTGCAAACTGGGGATTAAAAATGGGAATATGTATTCCACATATCCCAAGAAAACTGGGAAACCTGAAGTGTTGAAATTTTCAGTAGTTGATATAAAAACTGTATTCTGGAATTACACATTTAAAAATAAAGGAGGAACTATAAAAAAAAGTTCACAGGCTTCTCAAAGAAAATGAAATAGATTTCAAGCAGTGTATAGAATGAGGTAAAAGCTGGGGAAGCAAAGATTTATTTCTCCAGCAGAGAAACAAAAATGATTGAGAAAGGAAGATATGGGGTAAAATATGAGACTAACATGTGGCTTCATTTTAAGTAACTGGTGGAAGTAAGAAGGAATCCATCAGATCTTCTTCTTCTAGTAGCAGAGGGTTTGTGATTTGGAATTATGAGAAGAAAATGTAGTTATAGCCTGACGTGACTCTTACTCTTAGCTCACACTATTTTTAGTTATAATGATGTAAATGCTAATTATTGATTGTCAACTTTAAGAATCCACATATACACAAAGTGAAACACTCATTATGCAATATAATATATCTGTTATGAACCTTTACAATGAAAATTGAAGAGAGTGGAAGCAGGGAGAGCTGACGGGAAGGGGGAGAATATTAAAAACCCTCACTCACAATTTGGAAGTCAAGATATACAGAAAACAAAAAAGATATGATTAAGGGAATTATCTGAAGCTAGAAAAATAAATGAGGAGTAATCTAATAATATAATTATATTAAGAAAAGAAATGAGACCATACATGAGTTGAGATAATGTCTGTTGTCCATAAATTTAGACATTAAAAAAAAAGTAAGAATGTAGCCATGCCACTTAGAGATTTGGAGGTGAAAACCAGAAAAAAAAAAAGAAACCTAAAATGCACTTTTTACTTTAAGCCCTTCTGCACTATTTAATTTTGAAAAATATGAAAATACAAGTTTGATGAAAAATTTTAAATAATGTACTTAAAAGTTATTGAAATTGGAGAGTAGATACAGAAAATTTTAAATGAAATGCCAAGTGAACATCACTGAATAAAGAAATTCAGCATGTTGATATTGAGGATAAAATTTTCCTATAATTTGCTTGAATCAAATGTAAAAAAGTACTATTATTAGTTTATAATTTTTAGATTACTTCCTATGTTTCTGGTGAGATACACCCACATGCAATAATTCTTATACTATCTGTATAACGAAAATAACTTGGGAATTTGTGGGTAGCTAATTTTGTAAATAGCATAGGGCAAAATTAATTAGAATCAAATTTTACTTCAAATGATTACTTAGCATTTTGTTTGGTTCTAAGTTTCTATCATATCAGTTGGATTTGGCTACATTGTTTTCCAAAGCTGTTTAATTTGTACATTTTTTTTTCCATTTCAGCCACAGAATTGGGGGCCTAATGCATGCAAATGTAAAATAGGACCAAGGTTATTCTTTTTCTTATAACATGAAAGACAGCAATCCTGAAGCCCACGGTAGAAGGCTTAATTCACATTTATTCTAAGAGTAGTTGCTCTGCTTAAGATCTTGTGAGTCATTTCTAGTATACCAGAAGACTTTAGAATGGAAGTGGTTTCCATAAGATGTCACATATCTAAATGAAAACAGAAAAGTCCAGTTAATTCTCCTTCCTCCTGTCGAATGACTTTCTACTTACTGATCCTTCAATATCAAGTTCAAGAAATTCCTCTGCAAAGTCTTCTCTAAACTTCCTATGCATCCCTTCCTTTGTGCCTCATTACAATAGAAAATTGTCTTTACTTGCCTCTGCTCCTACAAGACAGTTTACCCCTTCAGGATACGTTATTCACTTTTGTATTCCCAATTCCTCACAGGGGCCTGGAAGATAACTAACACAAGTTGAATAAAAGGATAAATAAATGAATGAGCAGCACAAAGTAATCAACACCTGAGAGGAATTTGCCAGATGAAAATAATTGTCCAATTGATTATCAATCTGCAATCAGAGCTGCAACATTTTTGCCTGGAATGTATTGCTCTAACGAGCGATTACATAACATTCCACTTAACACTTGAAGAACAGAATTGCGCAATAGTCAAAACACCTGTTTTTTTTTTTTTTTCCTAAAAACTTCAGTGTTCCCCTGGAGAATAGCAGATTCTAATATTTCAGCCTCAAATACTATTTAAAGCTGGTGGCCTTCACTAGTACTCTTTGACCGGGATTGTGTCAGCTGGGATCTGAAAGTACGTGCCTCCATTTGCATTTACAAAGTACAAATTGAAACTAAGACTTGCTAAAGAATAACTTTAAATCTTTCTTCTAACCTGAGAGAGATTATTTATTTGAACATTATATTTAAAGGCACTGAAAAATCCTTTAGTATGAAATGTGTAACCATAGATAACTGCTATTTTCAAGTGGTACCGATTCAGTAACTACTGTGCCAATGTGGCTTAAACCCACTTTCGGATAAGGGTAAGAAAGTATGGCGAGATAGAGAGAATATATCTA